TTTTTAAAAAAGCTTGGGGGGGGCCCGGGGGACCCCGGTCTTTTTCGGGCATTAAAAAAGGGGGGAGTTACAGGTGGGGTCTTTTAAGGGGAACCCCCCCCAGGTTTTAGTTAGCAAATAAAGAGAACCCTTAGGCCCGGGGGGTAAAGGTTGGGGGAAAAGTTTGTCCTTACAGCGGTAAGTAGCACATAAAATTGATGTCCCCCCCAAAAAAAAACGGGGGGTTGTTTTAAGCGGATGATGTTTTTCCCACCCCTCCCGGGGGGGGGGGGGGGGGGGGCTACTAAATACAGTGTACAATAATAGAAGGTGTGCGGGATGACTGTCATCATGTGAACGCTTTTGGTACTATTACAAAAATCCATCGAACATACGACTCGTGTAACAACGTGCGGGGGGGATATAGCTCAGTTGGCTAGAGCGTTTGTCTCATAAGCAGAAGGTCGAGAGTTCGAGCCTCTCTATCCCCGCACTTTTTGCCCAAGTTTGCTACAAAGGTTCAATGAGACACACCACTCATCATTTATCTCTCATAATTCATTACTCATCATTCATATGTAGTTCCGACCTCCATCCACCTGAAACGAATGGTAATGCAGTAGTAACAATTAGTTACGGAGGGGGCGAAAGGGTGTGCGGGTTGCTCTTTACGTGGGAATGCATACATATATACAATGTTGACATGCTCTTTGACGCCACGTGTGACACTGCAATCAATCTCGCTTTCTCTTTGGATTATTCCAAGGCCATATTGTGTTTTTTTTTAACGGAGCACAACCAATCCCCTACACACGCACAACATTCCAGTGCGTACGCCCTCATCCAATATTCATTATGCGTGGGTAACTGCAGACGGACAGTTCCATGTAGTATAAAAGTCCACAATGTCCAGCTACTGTCAGCAAAGTCGACGTGGCCGAGTGGTTAAGGTGACGGCCTGCTAAGCCGTTGGGCTATGCCCGCGAGAGTTCGAATCTCTTCGTCGACGAGCCCGAACGGGTACTATTTTTTTCTCGCTCGATATGCTGTGTGTAGGTAGGTAAGCAATGCTGGTCCATGGAATGGTTTGGTGTAGATAAAGACAGGTAGTACGGGAAGTATTTCATGCTGTCTTTAAAAACTGTTCTGACCCGTGCACAGCAGTAGTTTATACTTGTCTGTCATCATGCTCTTATCATACAAGTACCACCGCCATGGTTCACAATTTGATCCGACATCACGACAAAACAGAGTAGTTACTGTGAGTGCGAAACATGGAGAAACACACAGAACAAGTAAAATATTTTGTACAAACACCTGACCAAGCGTAGGGACTAGATGAAGGATATAATCTAGATATATATGAAACCCAACACTGACGTCGCAAAGAATATTTCTTCTTACCCAATACAATAGTCGAAATGCAGGTAATAGGTGGTTGGTGTGTACTCTCCTCCTCATCATCGATAACAAAAAAAAAAGTTGTAAGTGTGAAAGGGGGGAATCGTCCTCGACAGACGTTGGGAGATCGTAGCTTTTATGTAGGTGACCACATTGCCCCTTTGCCCGGCTGGTGAGGAGGGTCCGCCCGAGGCAAAACAATTAAGGCCATTTGGCTACACTCCGTTCACCATCAACCGAGATCCACCTAGAGAGAGAGAGAAAAGGTCCCCGCAGTTTTCTGATTGGCCAATTTTTTTGAAAGGAAATTTCCTGTGGACGAAAATTCCATGGTCGACCGATGACGTCAGCCACGGTTGTTGGTTGTGAGGTCGCCTTTTCGGGAAAACTCGAAAAATTCAAATTCCCCGTGATTGACTGATTGGTCTGATTGGTCTGATTGATGACGCCAGACTTTCACGGGAATCGCCGGCCACACTTTCTTGTGCCCTGGAGGAAGGCATTTCCTACCGGCTCCTCCGATCCACTCTAGGCTGGGTGGTATTGAACCCACCATCCTCGCCCCTTTTCTTGTGAATTTTTTGTCGCACCCACACGACGGACGGACGGTCTTTGAAAAAAAAGGAGAGCTGCGACAAATCTTGACGGGAAACAATCGTCGCCAGGAAACACCCACACGCTCACAACTGCATCCTGCCCTCACAGGAGAAGAGACATTTTCTACAAAACAATCGCGTCTTCACCACACGGAGTACTCGAGAGACAGATATATTATTGTCATCAGTCAACGGTGCCACCACCGTGGTTGACGCTTCGGGTAAAAAAAGAGAAAAATTATGTTGGCTCATTTCAAAGAGAGGATGGCACGGGCATCCACGGCAGCTGTATCATCACCACATGCCACCAGCTACCGGTGGTGCTACGTGGAGCAGGTAGACCAGGCCGCTCCCCTCGCAGGCAGGAGCAACGGATGGCGGTACTTGGGGCCTGGAGGGATCACCTATAGGCGCCAGGCCGTCTTCGGCACGGGGTTTAGGGTTCGTATCTCCTTCCCTTCCTCGCCGGGGCCGGGATACAGGTGGTTCAACTCGCACCCCCTCGGAGGAGATCCCAACCTGTACAATTTTCAAACTTGGGCGAGGACGGTGCTGCAGGGAGGCATGGTCCACCCGCGTGACGCCGAGGCTTGGCGCACGGCGTTTGTAGAGGTAGAGGGTGGTGGCCTTGGACAGCTGGTTGTGTCAGCGGCCGACGAGAGCTGGCGAGTAATCTTCTGCTGGGCGTCAGCTGGCAGGGAGATCGAAGTCGACACCCAGGGCATCCCGATCTCTCTTGTGAACCTCCAGGTCCGATCTGGTCTCGACTCACAGAGCCCTTTTTTCAGACAGCTTAACATAGCGACCTTCGGGCACAGAGTTGTGAGATATGCCCCCATCACCGCATTCGGCAAAAAATGGCAGAAACAGCTTCCCGGAGCCTGTCTCGCTGTCCTCGTCGCCGAAGTTTGGCGCGATAGTCAAGTCTACCTGCTAAAAAAACCAAAGGAGAGGAGAAGGTTTGGATTCCGCGATGTAGATCCCACGGGTGCGTTTATGATCTCATCTCGTGGTGGTCGACCAAAAAAGGGCGCGCCTGTACACAACAAGAACGCTCTTGACGGTGGGAACTACTTCCGCAACCTGTATTCGATTCTACTGGAGCGAGACATCGGGGAAGTAGAGTTCGACACATGGGTTTCGGGGGATGCAGAACCACCCGCCTTGACATTACTGCATCTCGAAAAGTGGCTCCATATGACCAACGCCAGCGTGGTGGTGTGGTCACATCGGGGCACTGGTGCCAACATTCTTGGACCATCCGACGGGAAAACGAACCTCCAACTGCCCACACTACACGTTGGGGTTCGTGAGGGACACGTGTACCGGCTTGTGCTCGAAGGGCCTTGGGGAGACAGGTTTGGATCGTCTCTAGACGTGGCAATCGATCACAGCGTACGAACCTACCGTAAATTCCGTCGAATTTCTGAGATGACCGTGGAAGAACAGGAACCAGATACGACTGGGTTTGTCACCAAGACCTTCTCGTGTGTCGCTGACATTGTGAGTGATATCATGGCCATCAACGAAACAGGGGGGGACCACAACCGACAGCCAGTAGAAAAGCGGAAGCATGGCAGGAAGGTATCAGAAAGCAAGACGTGGTACGCGCCTCCAGGAACGGCCCTCGACGAACTCATGCTCCACCTACACCTCGCTGGGGTCTCTTGCGAAGGTAAACTCACGAACTACAGTCGCTGGGATTCACTGTCCTTACCAGCGCACGGCGTAATCATCCGAACCTGGTGCAGCGCGAGCATGGGTGGGCTCGATCCCGATGACTTCGAGCCCGACCAGGCAACACGATTGATCGAGCTGCATAATGCCCTGGGTCTGAAGTTCCACCGCGGGGTATTGGATTTTCGAGTATCGAGGCAGTACAGCCAGTCTCTGCTCGCCCTCCTTGAGGTTTGCTGGCGGGGGCCGATCGTCGGGGCAGAGGACGCGTCCGGGAGTTCCTACGGGAGGGAAGACTGGCAATGTGACATCAATGGGGCCCACACGGCCGCCCTAATGAACATGGAGACGGTGCCCGTTTTCGGCCACATGGATGAGGTGGAGGAGTTCGATGGCCACAACATCGAGGATTGGACGCTTTACATCATCAAGCTGGACGCGCTCGGTGAGTCAGACGTATTCCTTAATGCGGATGTGACGCCGGTCTTCGGTCGAAACTACAAGCGCTACCTCGACCTCATCGACAACGCGCCTCGCCACAGAGTCACCCACTTCGTGCGACCATCCAGAACGGTCAGCAGGTGCCACATACCCAAACTTGTAAGAGACCTGCTCGCGCATGAGCTGGGTGATCCCCTCCTCGAGGATGCCGACTGTGCACGCCGATTTAAAAAAGGAATATTCGTGCGGGCCAGCGGTATGTTGCAGCAGAGATATGCGGACAGGATAGATGCCGTCATGGTTACGAGCAGTGACGAGGCTTCCGTTGTGGGTGGAAAAATTGTCCCTGTCCTGTGCGAAGTCGATCGCGTCAAGGCCGAGCTTCGTACGGGACAAGGGGACCTTGGCATCGACTCACTTCACACCGGTGATGCATACCTTTGTTTCGACGCAGAACGGACCTGGTACAGAGATGGCTTCTGGGCGTTAGGTGCGCTCATTCTCGACGAAACTCGATTACGAGTGTTGGAGGCGAGGAACGCTCTCGAACTATGCGGCGCGTCCGACTTTAGCTTCCAGTGTGACGCGGTGTTCTTCAGGGGATGTTCTTCGGTGCAAGAAAAGATGAGACTCCGCTTCAACCAGTTGTTTAGCGGCAACGACAAAACCCCCGGCACTCTCAAGTTTGAACCGGCATTGAAGAACCCGCTGTGTGGAGAGAGGAGGGTGTTCGAAGGCATCGTGGTCAAGCTATCGCTGGATGCGTTACCTCCGGCAATGAGGAAAATTCCCTGCCCGTTAAAACCCCGGCTTTTAGTGATCCCTCTGTGGGATGGCGTCGGCACCGGCTTCAGTTCGATGGAAGAAGCTCACAGCGCCTGGCGTCGTCTCGGCAAGAACACCAAGCGCAATATGTGGCCGGAAATATGCGAGGCCGAGTCACCATCAAAACTAGAAAATTTACTCCGCGGCTCGTTGTCTCGACAAGGTTCAAGGATTGTTTGTGCGGTGACCGGAGAACATGGAGGGGCGGGGAAGAGTTATTGTGCCTTCAACGCTGCCAAGAATATCTTCAAAACGGGGTTGGTCGTTACCCCTACCAATAGTCTGAGAACGTCCTTCACAAACCTGCCAACCGGTTGGAATGTAAAGACCGCTGACCACCAGCTCGGATTCTACCTGGGCGATGATTCTCATGTGAAGAAGACGGCGGGGTCGATACGTGCACTTAAGGTCGACGTGATCATCATAGAGGAAGCTGCTTATATGCCTCTCCGGACCCTAAGCATGGTCCTGGCTGCCGCCCATAGCAGCGGTACCCACGTGATCGGGACGTACGACACGCACCAACTCCAGCCCGTTTGCGAGAGTAGCGGCATGTCGATTAGCAGGGACAACGTCAACAGAAAGTTCATCCTCGAAAAAGCCTTCCCCACATGCTTTCATGTCTTCGCACGCAAGCGGGATAAAACTGTCGACGAACAGGTGGAGATGGACGACGGCCTCTTGCACATTCTGGCCGCAGGAAACGACAGTCACGAGGCGCAGACTCGAGCCATCGAGAGATTTGGTGGTGGTTGTCTGGACGACCCAAGCCCTTCAGACTTTCATCTCGCTTACACTAGAGACTGTGCTCGTTTCTATGCGTTTCGAGGCTTGCTGGGGTGCAACGAGTCTGGAGGCTGGGACGTGCTGGGGCATAAAACAGTTGTTGGTGCACAATATCGGGACCTTGGGAACCTGGGCAGGGTTCACAAGAATCACAACTACAACATCATCCGGTCCTCAGGAGATACCGTTGTTGTCGCGAGCGCATTCGACGGTGCTGCTAGCCTTCAGGAGACTTCACTCTGTCGAGCGGAGGCGGAAAACTTGTTTGACCCCTCGGGAGCGTGCACGGTACACGCCGTCCAGGGCCGTACGGTAGAAGGGAGACTGATCATACACCAGGCCCGACACCCTTACGCCGATGTGTACTGGATATACACGGCCATAAGTCGAGCGACCGGACCGTCGAACGTCAGGGTCATCGACGATATTCACCGAAGCAAGAGCGACATGTCAGACCGAGAGAGGGCATCGTGGATTTCTGGGAAGGTTTCAAGTTATATCTACGCCGACGTTGCGGCCGAGCGTCTCGGATCTGATGAGGGGGGACAGTACAGAGAAGCTCTCGTCCAAGAACTCCAACGCTCCTACGGGGGGAGGTGCAACTTGTGCAACCATGACTTGGTCTGGGCCGTCTATAGTGAACGCCAACCGACTCTCGATCGTCTTGACTGCGCTTTGCCGCACACGATCGATAATGTAGATGTGAAATGCTTAAAGTGCAACAGAGCCAGAGGAAGCCTAGGGAGAGGGAAGTCGAAAAAGAGGAAGACGAGTTGATTGTACCGTGGTCGACCGCTAGCTTTTATGCCAAGAAACTCAGGAAATAATATGTATTGTGTGTATACAGATAATTCAATCATGAACGATCTCATTCCCCAGTGTGCCCGTTGGTTGGAGGATAATAAAGACCCGGTCCATGTTCTTGAGGTCTTGAGGACTCTGCATCCAGGCTCTCTCAACAAAAATGTTCGGCGAGTCAGGCGAGAATGGATGCAAGTATACGGTCCCGGCCGAAACGATGGCACCATCAGGAAGGAGCTTAAGCGCATACTCAAAGTCCTACAGAGGAAGGCGTCGTCGCTGGCCAAGAAAACCTCAAGTGATTCAAGGAAGAAATACAGCTTGAAGCAGCTCAAAATAGCCGAGAGCCGTATCATTTCGTTTTTCAAGTTGGATTTATTCGGCAAATGGGCAGCGCGCAATACCATTCATTCCCACAAGGAGTCCTTCACTGGGCTTGTTGATATCGACGCTCTCGTACGGAAGGTAAATATACTTCCGCCGCACGTCTCTCAGCTGGAACTCACGCCGGAAGAAAAAAGTATTCCAAGGAAACGACGTCGAGAAGCCTTGGCAGCGAAGTGCGAAAAGAGCATCACAGTGAACGCAAGCGACCTTGTCGATCTCATGGGAGCAATTATCACATACCCCCGAGCAAATTACTTTGAATTGGCGTGCGCGTTATCGTTTGTTTCTGGGAGGGCGCTACCTGAGCTTGTTCGTAGTGCTGTCCAATTTTCGCCCAGTAGTCACGGCAATCACGAGGTACATATCAAGGTTGGTGGAGGAACCTACCGGATACCACTAATATGCGAATACGAACACTTTATAGGGGGTGTCAATCGGTTGCGCGGAATGAAAGATACATCCCGCCTAACGCCCGCCGAGGTAACCATCGATTTAGTAAATCAGTAAATTTGTACGCCAGAAAACTGCTTCCTTGCGAAGTCGGATTGCGTGTATTCAGCGATTTGAAGACGCTCCACGTCGTGATTAGTCACAGAAAGTTCACAGGGCACGAGTTTGATTTGGGTGAATGGTTAAAAATTGCACGCGGTGGTCCGAGTTCACCGGCTTTAAACCGTAAGTGTTCGGTTGTCAAAGTAGAAGGGATCAAGGAAGAGGATCACAGGCAGTGGACGGTGTGACTTCAATCCGCTAGCATCTTCGTCGTCGATGTCCTTCCTTTCTCAGTGACCGTGCAAAGACTGTGACTCGTTGGATTTGTGTTGTGCGCGCAAACACACACGCACATACTAAATTTTCACGCAATGTTCACCGATATCTTGTGTATGAAACAAAACGTTCAAACACGTCCTATTGACCGAGACTACCACCCCGGGAGAAACATCTTTCTCTTCTCTACTTTGATCGGGGCTTTGTGTTGCACAAACACACAGTTTTCACACGCACACACACACACACACCAACACGAAAATTTTACACCACCAACACCAACACCGATATCTTGTGTATGAAACAAAATGCACGTCCTATTGACTGAGACTACCACCCCGGGAGAAACATCTTCTGTTCTCTACTTTGATCGGGGCTTTGTGTTGCACAAACACACAGTTTTCACACGCACACACACACACACACACACCAACACGAAAATTTTACACCACCACCACCACCACCGATATCTTGTGTATGAAACAAAATGCTCAAACACGTCCTATTGACTGAGACTACCACCCCAGGAGAAACATCTTCTGTTCTCTATTTTGATCGGGGCTTTGTGTTGCACAAACACTACGCACATGTCAACGCAAGGATATATGCACATAATAAAAGGATGATTCTCACAACCATAACAACAGCATTTTGAGGCTTCTATCCCTGAAGACCCCGTGCATGTGGCCTCCGGCACTAGCAGCCGACAGGCATGGATCTCATATTTATTTGGTAAGACGCCCGTTCGCCCTTGTTTCGAGTTCCCGCCTACCCCTGCGCATTTTGGTGCCACTCCCTGGCCTTCTGCATCAGGTAAGCGTTGCCTCTCTCCAACTTGGGCGCCTTCTTGATCCTGGCACCGTCCTTCGTGCATGGGTAGGATGCTCTCTTGTTGTCGCCGTTGCTGTCGAAGGGCTGGGTGCCCAACGTCCTCTCCCCGTTGTTCACGCTGGGGACGCTCCACTCGAAGAACTCCGACGGGTTTTCCGAGATGATAATGTCGCCCGTCTTCTTGTTCTTCTGAGCACGGAGGTGCTTGCCGAGGGAGGTAGCGTACGGGCCGTAGTCAAACTCGATACGACCGGCGGCGCCGGGGCCTCCCCGGTGGCTGTTGGGTTTCTGTTGTTTTCCCGATTGTACCGCCCCTGAAAATTCGTTTCATTGGAACATTCATTCGGAGGCGGCAAGTGGCCGAGTTTGAGCGTCTTTTTCGCAAGACGAAACACGGGAAGCCCCAGGCTACACCAACGCCGGATGGAGCGGTACATTGTGGATGTAACCAGGGCTGTAGTAGCGAACATCAAGAGTGAAGGACATTTCATTCGTGTCACACGCACGCAGCCGTATCACCACATTCTACTGAGCAGGGAGCGGTCATGAGTTGGTGGCATCGGGTGAACTATCATATCATGAAAGGCGGGGAAAGGTCGGAATGGAACTGTAGGAAAGGACGTGACAACAAAACAACACAATACAGAAACGCCTGCAAAGGAAACGACGGGCGGGGGGGATACGCTTAATCCCAACCATGCACCAGTTGCTCCCTCTTAAGGCATCGCGTTCTGTTCGATCGACTACTGTCACATAATAAGCAAGAAAAACGTTAAATAGCACGCTTCAACAACAACAACAATAACAACAACAACAGACTCTGGGGATAGAGTGAAATACAAGAACAAGCTCACCTCCGACACTCGCGTTCTTGACGTGCACGTGTCCGTCACAGCTGCATGCCTCACCCGACTCGGTGCAGGAACACCCGGCCACATTGCAGGAGTTGGCTGAAAATATGAACATCGAATACACGCGACACAGGAAGAGTAGGTCGTTAGGGTTTCAATAGAAAGTAAGGGAAAACAACACAATACAGAAACGCCTGCAAAGGAAACGACGGGCGGGGGGGATAGGCTTAATCCCAACCATGCACCAGTTGCTCCCTCTTAAGGCATCGCGTTCTGTTCGATCGACTGTCAAATTTTCATTCCAAAAGTCAAATATCACGCTTTGGCGGCAACACCACCACCACCACCACCAACAACAACAACAACAACAGCAACAACGACACCGGCCTTTCATTCAACGAACCAGTTGCACGCCTTGGTAACATCAGAAAGAGAGAGCGGTGATTAGATGGTTTGTGTCCGGTGAATGGCACACCGGCAAAGTGGGAGTGGAAATTACTCGTCGACCGCCAGGCAACAAAACACATAGACGTCTTCGATGATTGGGCATCGACCTTAAACGAACCAAATCCAACAACAGTTCGACCAAAGGGGGCGGTTTTAGCAGGGATTACACTCACTGAGGGGCACACCGGGAAGGTCGATGCACATGGGACGAATGGGAAACAAGACATGCCAACGCACAAGCACAAAATTCATTCATTCATTCATTCATTCATCGTTCAATTCATTCAAACAACACACAACCCCAACAACAACAGCCCGTTCGCTTAATACAACGATATCACCGCCCATGCTCCTGATCTTTGACCCCGAGGCCACAACGTTTCATTCAAAGGGTCAAATCGCACGCCTTCCTTTAAGGACAGCATTGTGTCTTCGTAATTGGCCGTCGCTTCGTCACTCTACTCTAGTAAAATCAAAGAACAACCATAGTTCCGTTCGGGCTGCCTTTCTTGCCCTTGTTCCTCTTGCCGAGTCGGTGGTAGGCGGACGCCTGCTCCTCGGGGGGTGCTCGGAACAGCGAAACGCCGTCGGTGAAGTCCCCCGACTGCCGGATCCGTGACTTGATCGTCTTCGGCGGTACACGGTCCGTAGTCGTCACCTTGAACGCTTCCTCGCCGTCGACGGCCTTCACTCCACAGAGCGAGGGGAAGCTCTCGGCCAGCGGGTGGGACTGACTCCGCCAGGGATTGAAGGCGCCACGTCCCGGAGACCAAGTGCAGACTACCGAAAGGCTTGCTTGGTCCGGGGGGCTGATTCCGTGGAAGAGGGGGGCGTAAAGGACCTCCGAGGTGGCGATGTACGCGTCTCCGCTCCGCATCGGCATGATAAGGGGCTGCGGCAGGTCGCCGCCGCTGAGGATGAAGTCCCCGGTGGACCTCGCGGGGTCTACTTGCCCGTGGAGGAGGACGTCCGCGCCAAGGTGAACCGTGCCGCGCACATCGAACTTCATCCTGTCTGAATGAGACGTGTGAAGTTGCTCTTTCTCCCGTGTAGTCAGGTGCGCGCAGTCCGATCGCACGCCAACCAGGTCGGTCATCGTGGCGATCGCGCCAGCGACGACAGGCGCCAGGGCAAGGTCTACCCCACCGTCGACGGGCTTGCCTCTGGACAGGATGTCCACGCTGTCGTACGCTCGCTGGAACGACAGGTGGGACTCGATGTGCTGACGCTCCCCCTCGGTGAACGTCGGCACGCTCACCGCCCCACGGTAGAAAGCCAGGCCGTTCTTGACCCTGGTCGGCACTCCTGTTGGTGCCCGCGCCTGTAGGAAACGTGTGGTAGGTACGTAGACGCGGCCATGGGTGAATAACACAAAACTGCCAGAGTTCAACCAGATAAGACAGGCAGATAACCTTGTGTATCGTGGAGAATACACGCAACACACGCACACTCTACAGGTGGGCCGACTGTCCCCCTTACCTTCGGGTCGCCTACTCCTTCGCTGCTGCTGTTGCCGCCGAAGCTGGGCTCTCTCCTCCTCTTTCCAGACGATGTCGGGGGTGTACTTTCGACAGCGTTCTCCTAATCATGGATGGAAGAGCGGGATAGATCAGACGACAAATAGGTGGATGACAAGCGTGCACTGAGATACACGCTTTAGTCTATAGCAACATGTACTGACCTCCAATGCAGATTTGAAGCTGTAAGCGATGTTCATGGTAGGATCGTGTCAGACGGGAGGGCCTTTGTGTGTGAGTGAAACAGGGGGGCGGGGGGGACTTGCGTGCCCGCGTTCACCGGGTAAAAATCGAGAACATTGGAGGCGTTACTGCTCGTAGCAGCGAATTCGTTCATCGATGCTTGGTACTACTGCTGTATTCTCTGGAACAACTTCCTCGGGAACAGGGTCTCTGTCAAGAGCCTAAAACTGTCTGCGTGGAAATCAGTACCAGTATGGTTGCGGAAAGCGGTGGTGGATTCACACGTGTTACCTCTCGAGGTGAACGGGGGGGTGCCGGGCTGTTGAGCGGTTGCGGGGTAAGAACCCGCTGGCCTGACGCCGATGTGCCACGTGCCCGAGGAGGTGTGACCGGGCAGCTCTGGAAAATATACAGAAAATACACAATGACACAGTGGAGAGGGAACAGAATCAGCGGATGTACCGCTTGTCACGTCCGGTTAGATCTGTTGAGCTACAAACGAGAGGTGGCAAGTGGCCTGTGCTTGGTGCTAAAAGCGAGCCGTTGAGCCTCTCGGGCATATTCTGCTGGCGGTGTCTCTTACCATCTGCGAGAGTCAAAGGAAGCAGCAGTAAGTAAGTGTGAAAACATTCGGAGTGAAATGCGGCATACATAGCGGAAAGCTTACCTCCATCGCTCTCGTAGAAGCTTGTGGGCCGGAATAGGGTAGAAGTAGTGACAACCTGCTGACGAATGAATAGATAGGTAGCACCCGATGAGGGTGGAATGGATCTCAGTTCACCGATTTCGGTCGTACATGGATGCGGTGTTCACTTTGTTTGACCGGAGTGCTTTGACAGTAGTAGGCGCACCGACGAGAATAAGGCATCTCCTGGCGATTCCGTGAATAGTATCGTTGCGCGTTCTGCCGCAGCAGAGAGAGCAACAAGTCAGCTAGTAGAGAGATAATCACATGTCAGGTAATAGGATACGTGACAAGGTTTGGGGTTACAGCACATCCAGGATGGGTATATGTGTGGACGTACTGAACCCCCGTGGTGTATTGTGGGAAGGATGACACGGATAATTCAAGCAATTGAAACGACTCCGCCTCAGACACTGGCCCGCCGTAACGAACACAACGCACCGCAGTACTGCTGCCTGAGGCTAAGTACAGCGACGAAGTGAGAGCTCGTGGTGTTGTTTTTGTATCGCCTATCGGCAGGGACATCGAGAGACGCAAATCAGGGAACCTGGCAGAGAGCTACGTGGACAGCTGGACAAACCTTAGTGATCTGCTGCTGGTGATGACTATAGGCAGTATCCTGGTTCTTGGATGCTCGTCGACTCTGCCACAGCGGGACGTCTGGGGTGTGTGGGCCGAGCACTGCAAGGGGGTTCCATGTAGTCTGTCTGCTGGATGGGTGTCTCTGATTTTGAACCGGGGCCCCCGATCGCCACGAAAAATGGGAGGAGGCGTTTGCCCCAGAAAAAGTGTACTGAAATTAGACAGAAAGCTCCCTGCTTGGCTGTCTACCAGCCTTCCTACCACGAAACTCGAGATAAGACGCTAGGAAGAGATCATTTTGCGATTTTCAACCCACCCCAAGTGGTATGTAGCTGGACGCTTTGAAACTATTTGTTCGGGTCACCTCCCGTCTAGCACACAGCTGTAGAGCAATTGCTGCTAGAGTCAAGAAGAGAGGATCCCAGTATAATGTTTGCAGCAGACTGGTTATTATGCTACCCTCGGTGACATACCTTCTTGAGGGTCTACCTGCTCCACGTAGCACCACCGGTAGCTGGTGGCATGTGGTGATGATACAGCTGCCGTGGATGCCCGTGCCATTCTCTCTTTGAAATGAGCCAACATAATGTTTCTCTTTTTTTACCCGAAGCGTCAACCACGGTGGTGGCACCGTTGACTGATGACAATAATATATATCTGTCTCTCGATTACTCCGTGTGGTGAAGACGCGGTTGTATTGTAGAAAATGTCTCTTCTCCTGTGAGGGCAGGATGCAGTTGTGAGCGTGTGGGTGTTTCCTGGCGACGATTGTTTCCCGTCAAGATTTGTACATAGCAGCTCTCCTTTTTGTTTTCAAAGACCGTCCGTCCGTCGTGTGGGTGCGACAAAAAAAATCACAAGAAAAGGGGCGGGGATGATGGGTTCAACACCATCCAGCCTAGAGTGGATCGGAGCAGCCGGTAGGAAATGCGTTCCTCCAGGACAGAAGAAAGTGTGGTCGGCGATTTCCCGTGGAAGTCTGGCGTCATCAATCAGACCAATCAGTCAATCACGGGGAATTTGAATTTTTCGAGTTTTCCCGAGAAGGCGACCTCACAACCGTGGCTGACGTCATCGGTCGACCATGGAATTTTCGTCCACAGGAAATTTCCTTTCAAAAAAATTGGCCAATCAGAAAACTGCGGGGACCTTTTCTCTCTCTCTCTATTTTGATTTGAATTACGAGTAACATCAATCCCAAAAAGAAACTACAACAAACAACGGGACAATCTGTTGTGGGGTGGGTTTTTGATTTCCAGGGTGGTAATGGAACACTGCAATGCATGGAAATTTCCACGCGTACAGCAGCATTAAAAAAAACGAAAAATCAGATGGATGGCCATCAAGCGTCCACCCGCGTAAACGGCAGAAAACTAGACGCTGCTGAGCAAGCGGAGAGATAAAAATGAATTGAAAAAACAAAGGCAATGCACGAAGCAGGTGCCGGTTTTCTCATCTCTCATGCATTCATCGTCAATTCATCTCAATCTCTCGAACACCCGTACCACCAACCACAAGCTAGCCCCCTAAACCTCAAGTTGCCGCCGACTGCATCCATGCAACTGTTGCAAACTCGCGGTAATATGATGGTGGCGCAGAGTGTGAGTCCCTTACAGACAGGGCCTTATGGAACGGGGGGACATGTAAAACTCGAAGATAAATGGTACACCCCCCCAGAAACGTTACGCGCAGATTTCATTTCTCGACCCCAACGATCACAAACAAGCCAGGATCCTTGACCTAACACGCACAAAGCCTGGAACACATCCATACCACGAACCTCTCCGCAAGTCTGAGATACATCCACCCGCTTCGCACGCCAGTACACGCTAAACCAGAAAACCTGGTAGGTAAATATCATCTCATATCTTTTTCCGATTGTGATTCCGACTCCGGACGAGCAATCGGAAAAATCGGTTCCCACTCACAACCCTCCAGTTGTTCCCGCCAACCGTCCAACACCGTTCCACTTCCTGACGGTGGGAGAACGACTCAGTTCATTCAACGATAAACCACAAATTGCCGCGCACTTGCAAGATGCAACGCACCATCCAAGAAACTATCTCCATGCACCTGTGGTTAAGATTTCACTGTCGAAGCTATCACGTGCCAGGTTAAATACCCCTGTTACGCCCAGATTGGCGGGGGTGGTCAGGCAACATGGACGCCCCTGACACGCTACTGCAGGTCAACGGCTACCTAAGGAGATTTAGACAAGAACCTACACAGCCGGAGGGCTCGACACCATCATCAGGCCAAGGCATTCTTCAGGGGCAAACAAGCTCTGAATAGCCTGAAAGGACTAAAGGCAGCAGACAACATCCAACTTGGGAGGAACACACGAGAAATGCCAGTTGCTACGAATGGCGCGCTTCCGCGCTCCGTCTTTCTCCCCGCCCGTCCTTCCGTAAATCCTCTTTTGATGTTATCCGGCAGTTCTCTAGCCGCTCGGTTTCCGCGCGTGGTCTGCGAGCCTCCTCCTCTTGGCCCTTCTTGTGTTGCGAAGCCATGAACCTTTTTCGCCTCTCTCTAACGAACCCAATAGTGAAGGAGAGGTCTTCGCTCCAGTTCACCTGGGATGAAAAAACAGGCACCGTTGTGTTAAAAAAGGACTCGTCCTCGACGAACGTTCGGGAGATGAAGCGTTTCAAAGGTTACATCCACAATGAAAGATGTCAGTGAAATAGTCGTAGAAGAATAAGCGCCCACATTGCGCCGGGGGATAATCGATGGAAAAAAATGGCATAGGAGGGCAATCTTACACCATCGAATACATATTGAGCATTGCTGACCTACTGCACGCGTCCACAGAGAAAGCTACACGCCGGTCAATTTTCCAATTTTCGAAGGTCGCAACCCTTCTGCAGAGGTGAACGAATACTCGGCTAAGCGTGCGAAAAAACCCCGTAAATCAAGTAAGGAGGACCACGGCGCAAACAGAGGGTATTTCATAAAAACAGTATAGTGCGTCGTCAGATGTACTTCACAAAGGGTGGTGTTGGGAAGTCTAGAGCGTGGACTCGAGGCAATAATGTTGAGACGGGTCGAATCTCAAACGAGCCCATGATGAAGACAAAGGAAGAGCAGAAAACAACTCTTTAATCCTAGGAAGAACGTTTCGTGTCTGCAGCATGAGACACCGCCGGAATCATCTCAAACGGCGGGAAACGGATTGTTGGGTAGGTGTGATGAACGAGAGGGAATCAATACTGCGGCGTGGAATCAACAAGTGTGGGATTTCAACCGATCCATAGTTTTCGCTACAGCTGTTCCCCTCGTTGTCGAAAATTCCCAACAGCAAATTCAGAGGTAAGCGACTCTCCCCTATCCCTGGCTACTGCTGTATACCGCTCGAACAAAATTAAATATAAACAGAACAGTAGTCTTGCGCAGAACAACACAACTACACCGACTCACCTCTTCGCACTACACGAATCCCACGATCTTGCGGAGCACTCCCTCGTCCGTGACCGCCATTAGCCAGGCTGCTGTGATATCGAACCCAACAACTAGGCGTCGATGTCCAGCCCTACCTCCGGCGCGCGCGTCGCGGCTCCCCGCCCCCGCCTCCGCCCCCGCCCCCTGGCCGTGTCGGCCACCCAACTCTACCTCGACCTTCACCTGCCCCGTCCTGGCACGTTGGCTCCGGCGCTCGGTCGGTTGCCCCGTGGACTCGGCTGCCATGTCGGGGATCTCCTCTGCGAACCGTAGCCTTTCAGGATGGGCGCGGCACAAGACCAGGAAGCCCCGGCGACGCCAGGCCCTATCCTGCGGAGCCTTCTCCAGTAGCGCGGCCAGACGTTCGAGTCTCGGGCGGTCTCTTTCGTCAGCTTGAGCAATTGCTGGCATGAGCGCGCTGGGAGTGGTGACTCCCTCGTTGTCCACTGCCATCTCATCTGCACCCCATCTCAGAAGCAGATCCGCGGCGTCGGCATGGCCCTTTTGGGACGCGGCGTGCAAGCAAGTCCATCCAATTTCGTCGTGGCTGTTCGCGTCGGCACCCAGTTGTAGGAGAACGAGCATGGCAGCGCAAGAGCCCTTCCAGGCCGCGTACCAAAGTGGTGACCGTCCAAGCGACATTCGAGCTTCAATGTCGGCCCCGGCTTCGATGAGCGCTGGGATGGCGCCTGATTTGTTGCACTTGACGGCAACATGCAAAGCGGTCTTCGAAAGGTCCGTCTGACGCTTCGCATCGGCACCGGCAGCCAGCAGAACCTTCACTGTCGAAACATGATCTCCTTCCACCGCAAGACTGATAGGGGTCATGCCTTCATCATCCAGAGCGTCCAGATCCGCCCCCTTGTGGGCCAAGGCATGCACGACGTCATGCCGACCTACGCGGGCGGCGACATGGATAGGGCAGTCACGTGCGAAACCTCGGGCTTTGGGATTGGCTCCACCGAGCAAAAGGTCCTTCGCGAGCCGTGCATGATCTTTACCGATGGCAAGATGAAGGGGAGTGTCGCCGTTGCGGTCCGCCGCATTCACATCGGCCCCAGCAAGCATCAGCACCCGTGCCGCAGCGTCCTTCCCGGTTGCAACTGCAACATGGAGTGGAGTCCCCCCCACAATGCCCAGGACTTTGGCCTCCATGTCTTCTCCAGCGCCAGCCCTGACGAGAGCCGTCACCACCTCCTCGTTGCCGCCCTCGGCAGCCGCATGCAGCAGAGTTTTGTCATCACAACCCCGCCAGCCCGCACTCCCGTCTGCTCCAGCTTTCAACAACTTCTCCACTAAGTCTTGGTTGGCCGTGCCTGCTGCATGCTCCAGAGGGGCCCTCAGCCACTCCGCCCACTGTTCCGATGTCGCTCTATCGCACATGAGTTTGAAGATTATGCCTGCTGCATCCCCCAGGGTTTTGGCACGGTCTTCTGCGTCTTCTCTTGGCGCTGGCATGGTGACACTGATCAACGGGTGCGAACAGCGAAGGCAACACAACCACCAACACACGACTGGCCCCCGAGCACGATAGCCGAGAAGGTTCAAATCAGCGAGTTGACAACAGCAAGATGTCTGGGATGTGGCATGCCAGATGCACAGCCTGCAGTAATCTACAGCAATCAGGGGCCCCGCAAAGGTGTACGCAGGGATGCATACTGTTCTGTATCTGTGCCGGCCCCAATAACCCTCCGCATTGCCCCGCAGTGCTGCACACAGCCAGTAGCCAGCTCAGGGAGCTGCAGCTGCGCCGTGATCGGGAGAGGAAAGAGAGCACATCACACCGCTGGGTGCTTGGCAAAAGGTGGGTGTGGATAGGTGGTCATAACAGTCGCGTTAGTTCCGAGATAGGATGGTGGTGTTTTAGTGTTTGATGTTTGATGTTATATAATAACCGCAGCAGCAGTGGTCTCCAGCACGTCATTCCCCCGCAAGAGAGCAGCGTCGGGCGATATGTAGCATGGTTTGCGCATCCTGTGTGTGTGGGCAGAGCCATTGAACGATGATTGTCGACGGGCTGAAGAGAGGGCGATCGCAAAGCTGGTGACTGTGCTTCTTGGTGTGCCCTGGCCTATCCTAGGAAACATAAGTAGTACAAACATAGAAAGACCCATTCGAGATATAATCCTCTTGAACCCCAAAAGTGTCAGATGACCGTTATATTATACTGCTGTACCCCCCATTCGCAGTCCGTAGTTCAAGCTATGCTGCCAACAACAGATTACCCTCATGTAGTGGGGACCGTCCGCGCTTGATCTCTGTACCACGATGGACACCCTTGATTTTGCTGCGGTACCCTTGACGTGCTACTGCTATACAGAGAGGCAAACAACGTGCTACTGCTGTATCATCTTGAGCCCTCTCTTCGACGTGCGACACAGCGAATGTTGAGGGTGTACGCAAAGACGCAAGGTATGATACACGTATTACATGTGTAACAGGCAAAGTCTTCCTGCTCCGGTGTTACATAAAGTAAGCAGCGAGGAATATCATCTAGGCCAACACGCGGATTAAGCGAGAAGAAACGGCCACCAAGACAGACGAAGCTGCTGGAAACGATGGGAGATGACGCAGTTGCTGGAAAGCTTGGAAAACTGCTGTATGTAGCCTATAGTCTACTCTACAGTTAGCTGACGCGGGCTTATTGATAATTTTAACGGCGCTTATTGGCGTCAAGTCCTGCTCTTGATCACCGTTCGTAGTCGCCGAGAGCGCTCAAATCGAAGATGGGACGGAGGCAGGGCATGATCCCATAGCTCGGTCCTTTGCGTCGCGTTTCGCATGGCTTTGGTGCCGGCACCGACACTATAGTATCTGTTGACGTCCGTCCAATCCCCCCCCACCCCCGCTCTGTGTGCGGCGCCCCGCGTGTTCAAAAGTGGCTTGCGGCTAGAGGAGGAGGAGATCAGTCAAGTGCAAACCAACAGAGGAAAGGAGGGGGGCAGGAGAGGGATGGTCAGACTTCACCATTCACAAGAAAAGCCAACCACGACGTTATCGTACCGTCAACGCGGCCGGCGCGATGTGTCGAAAAAGGCGCACGCGGAGGGAAGTTAGTGGAGTAGTCTAGAGGTGCGGTTCGTCGAGGGAATCAAATCTGGCCGCGATGATTTTAGAATGACTTTGAGACCGTTGCGTGCCGGTGGTGGCGACGCTGATCACGGAGGACGCCGACGTCGCCTGTAGGAAAACTGTAGTCTTAACTTCCGAGCAGCTCGTCACGGAATCCTGAAAGTGCTCCCGAATCTTCCGGCATAAAGCGCTGCTTTGGTCGACTCTGTCCTTTCCCTCACCCGCCTTTCATAGGTTGGCAAGTGGACGGGTGGCGGCAAGTTGGTGTCCCTGAACGGCGTGCGCTGTTTTGTTGATCGAGTCCTCGAGACTTTGCGCCTCTCACGGGGCTCGTCGGGTGAAGCTATGCATGTACAATATGAATTCGATCTTGATTTGTTGTGTAGAAATTCGGTGGGTACCGATCCTGGTCGTTCGTGTTCGCGTTGTCACGGTAGCATGAACGGGCGCGAGATACTGAGATTCATTCCATCTTGCGATGGTTTTGAGGAGGGCTAGGGTATACCTTCGGGTGTACCTGAATCAGTGACGGGGCCCCTCTAGGGCGCCGTCCCTCACGTGTTTACTTAACACGGCCAATTCGGAAGGAATAGACTTTGACCACGCTAAGAGTGCTATCAACCTGTGAGTCGATGTATGGCTAGTCCCACCTTGATTAGCCCCCCTAGCCCCCCCTTGACTCAATTGTTAAGATACCATGAAACTGACCATTGAATGAACCGAAACTAGTTGGACCCTAGCTAGTCGATGTTACGCTCAAGCATGAGTAAACCATCTGAATCGATAGCGTTAAAGCCTCTGTGACAGCGTGTATGCATGGTGTCATGTGCATATATATATGGGATGTTGTTGGCGATTCACGAGAAATACTCTCGCCCTCCCCTTCACCAGTACATGGGCCTTGACGTTCTGGGGCACGGTCGGATACCGCCCCCTTTTCCCGCAGGCACGTCCTTGGAGCTGCAGTAATCCAACAGGTTGGAGAGGCAGTCGATGCGGTGGCGTGTTTAGTGGGGAGATTCTCTTGCGCGGATAAAAAGCTGCTCGATCCTGCATGCACGTTGGACGTGACACGCGAGAGTTGGTGCTCATGCTGAGGCTGTCATTATGTCATTTATGGGGTGCATGCCTGCGTTGTGTCTATGAATCTCGTGATAGTGCCTCTTTGAGAAACATCGCAATCGCGGTCAGGGCGTTGATTTTGCTCCCCTTGTGTATACAGACAGTTGCCGTTTGCGTTTTGGGGTGCTTGCTGTCAATTTCACTTGCGTTCTTTCTCAGTCCGCCGAAACTCAACCTGTCTTGACTTGAAGTTTTGAGCATGGCCTCGTCAAAGCAGAAGACGAAAATCTACAAAAAAAATGGTTCGGGGTTGTGGTCCAGTCGCTTGTGCCTTGCAACGCACGGAAAGAGTCCACGAGCAGCAATAGAAACAAAAAAGAACTGCAATCATGTAGTGTCCACCCACCGCATCAGCGGCACCAAACCGACGAAGTAGCCGAGAACTAGAACAAGGCGTCGAAAATGCACGAAGCAGTAGGATTGCTTTCCTCTCATGCTCCCATCCGCATCTTTGTTTTGAGTCTAATCTCTCGAACATCGCTGCAACCAACCACTAGCCCAATAACCTTCAAGCAGCTGTCGACGGCCCAACACTACAATTTCGCTGTGAATAGATGGTGCCGCAATGGGCGCGTCCTTCAAAGGGTCTCTCGGCGTTGACACGCGAAGCTCCGAAAAATGGCAAACAAACGTTACAGAAGTTGCGAGTAGATTTCTTTCTCCCTGCCAACGATCACAAACACGCCAGAGCTCCGTAACAAGTACACAGATGTGGCCTGATAAATGCACGACGAGCCTTGCAGAAAGTCTGGGATGCATCCACCCACATTGTACTGCCAAATACACTAAAATACAAAGAGGCAAAACGTCTGTAAACAATCGTCTCGATTTTCCGAGTACTGTATGGTTCCGATGACAAACCGGAAAACTTGGTTCCATTTCACAACCCTGTGCATACGGTTTTTCGTTTTTTTCGCCGACCGGTCAACAACTCTCCATGTCCTGACCCGTGTGAGAATGGCCCAATCCATACAGAGGTCAAGGGGACCAAACACAACGTATTACGCACTTACAAGACAGTCTCCGCGAAACTGCGCCGAGCACCTCACTGTCAGAGTCATCGCCAACCGCGTCAATACCCCTGTCATGCCCAGATTGAGAGTGCGGGGGGGTCGGGAAGAGTGGCCGCCCCTGAGATGCTACGGCAGTACCTCAACGACTACCGATGGAGATTTCATACAAGAGCCCCAACAACAGCAAGTGATCTCGAAACAATTCTCAGGCCAAGCCCATTCTTCATGGACACATAAGATCTCGTCAGAGGGGACTTCAGGCAGCAAAATATATACCGCTATGAAATTTGGGACAAAATCATACGAGAATGCAAGCAACTACTCCGAAGGGCGCTTCTGCGCAGTCCCTCTCTCTCCCCGCTCGTCCTTCCGTGGATCCCCTCTTGAGAATCGCTGTTTCCGTGCGTCTGCTAGCCTCCTCTCCTCTTGGTCCTTCTTGTATTGCGACGCCACGAACCTCTCCGCCTCTGAACTCGAAAATGAAGGAGAGTTCTTAAGTTCCAGCTCGCCTGAGGGAAAAACGAATACAACGGGTTAAAGGAGGAAAACGTCCGCGATGGACATTGGAGGAGAAAGAACCTTTTCAAAGATCACCTTTAAACTGACATCGTTCCAGAGGTGCCAGTGAAATAATGGAAGTGGTGCAGCTTTTCCACTCACATCCTATGTATCTGTCGGAGAGAGAATGTGACTCGAAAACATTAACATTTGGCTCAAGGAGGGGCATCCAACGTCGTCAAAAACGTGTCGGGATATGTTGACGTAGCGGACGCATCCACAGGGCAAGCTACACTCGAGCATTCGTCATTTTCCCAGTCTTGAAGGGTCGCAACGCTCGTGCTGAGTGAGACCTCAGCAGTGGAGGACGCACACTCGGCACAGCGTGCTAAAGCACAGGCAGCCCGATTAACGACGACGATGGCGCATATATTTTAAGGAAATCACTAAGACTGTGCGTCGTGAGACCTCCTTCAACGGGTAGGATTGGAAAATCTACGGCGAGGAAATCGAGTAGCGGTGGTGCTTCGCCACCCCCTCCACCCTTCTTACACCCGCCCTCCCCAATATGCCAGGTGTCAGAACGTCGAATCTCAAACGAGCCCATCATGAGGACGAAGGGAGAGCAGGAATCAACTACATGTCCACCAATATCACGCGAAACAAAGGTGGATGCGAGAGCTGGTTAATATCAAACAACACACAACGGCACGGCCTCCTATAATAGGTAGCGTTTTTTGTGCCCGCTGCATGAGACACCGCCGTATTCATACAGCATATTGAGGCGTATGGGCTCTCACCAATCTCTGCTGTAGCCCGTTAGACGGTTACGCTCAAATGGATGAGAAAACCTGACCTGTGCGACAAAGGTAAGCTGACAATCACACACTCAATACACCCAAACTGACCTCTTCGCACTACAGGAATCCCACGATCTTGCAGAACACTCCCTCGTCCTTCACCGCCATTAGCCAGGCTGCTGTGACATCGAACCCAACAACTGGGCGGCGATGTCCAGCCCTACCTCCGGCGCGCGCGTCGCGGCTACCCGCACCCGCCTCCGCCCCCGCCCCCTGGCCGTGTCGGCCACCCAACTCTATCTCGACCTTCACCTGCCCCCTCCTGGCACGTTGGCTCCGGCGCTCGCGCGGTTGCCCCGTGGACTCGGCCTCCATGTCGGGGATCTCCTCTACGAGCCGTAGCCTTTCAGGATGGGCGCGGCACAAGACCAGGAAGCCCCGGCGACGCCAGGCCCTATCCTGCGGAGCCTTCTCCAGTAGCGCGGCCAGACGTTCGAGTCTCGGGCGGTCTCTTTCGTCAGCTTGAGCAATTGCTGGCATGAGCGCGCTGGGAGTGGTGACTCCCTCGTTGTCCACTGCCATCTCATCTGCACCCCATCTCAGAAGCAGATCCGCGGCGTCGGCATGGCCCTTTTGGGACGCGGCATGCAAGCAAGTCCATCCAATTTCGTCGTGGCTCTCCGTGTCGGCACCCAGTTGTAGGAGAACGAGCATGGCAGCGCAAGAGCCCTTCCAGGCCGCGTACCAAAGTGGTGACCGTCCAAGCGACATTCGAGCTTCAATGTCGGCCCCGGCTTCGATGAGCGCTGGGATGGCGCCTGATTTGTTGCACTCGGCGGCAACATGCAAGGCGGTCTTTAAACGGTTCATCCCACACTTCGCATCGGCACCGGCAGCCAGCAGAACCTTCACTGTCGAAACATGATCTCCTTCCACCGCAAGACTGATAGGGGTCATGCCTTTACCATCCAGAGCGTCCAGATCCGCCCTCGTGTGGGCCAAGGCATGCACAACATCATGTCGACCATGGCTAGCTGCGACATGGATAGGGCAGTCATGTGCGAAACCTCGGGCTTTGGGATTGGCTCCACTGAGCAAAAGGTCTTGCGCGATGCGGGCATCAACTCCTAATACTCCGATGGCAAGATGAAGGGGAGTGTCGGTATTGTGGTCCACCGCATTCACATCGGCCCCAGCAAGCACCAGCACCCGTGCCGCAGCCTCCTGTCCCCTCATAACGGCAACATGGAGTGGAGTCCCTCCGGTGCCCGGGGTTTTGGCCTCCATGTCTTCTCCAGCGCCAGCCCTGATGAGAGCCGTCACCACCTCCTCGTTGCCGCCCCCGGCAGCCGCATGCAGCAAAGTATTGTCATCACAACCCCGCCAGCCCGCACTCCCGTCTGCTCCAGCTTTCAACAACTTCTCCACCAAGTCTCGGTTGGCCGTGCCTGCTGCATGCTCCAGAGGGGCCCTCAGCCACTCCGTCCACTGTTCCGATGTCGCTCTATCGCACATGAGTTTGAAGATCATGTCTGCTGCATCCCCCAGGATTTTGACACGGTCTTCTGCGTCTTCTCTTGGCGCTGGCATGGTGACACTCACCAACGGGTGCGAACAGCGAAGGCAACACAACCATCAACGCACGACTGGCCCCCGTGCACGATAGCCGAGAAGGTTCAAATCAGCGAGTTGACAACACAACAACGTCCGTACCGTCGCACTGAGTTCAAACTTCCGACGGACCACGGTTCCTTCAAAGAACCAGAACCACCCCGGGGCCCCGCGAAGATCCACAAAGTACTCCCAGTCTATCATACTGGCTTTATCTGTGCGGCCCCAACCCCCCGCATAATCAATTGATAGCACCAAGGCACGCACAGCTCCACCGCCACGGTGGTTGGGGAGAGGAAAGAGAACATAGCACACACCGCTGGACGCTGGGCAGAAGGTGAATATGCGCGGATATGCGAGTCGTTGCAGCTAATGTGGTGATGTTTCGCTAGATGCCCTGCCAGGAACCGCAGCTAAATGCTTATGTCCAGCTCTGAGGCACTCGTGCGCAGAGTCATTTTCCGCAGGACTGCAACAGCACCTGCAAGTCTGTGTGTGGGAGGGGGGCGATTGAGCTACGATCTATGTTTCGACGGGTTAAAGAGAGGGCGATCGCGAAGTGTGCTTGTGCCTGACCTTTCGTCTCCGAACCCCGAACGAATCGCTCTACTTGTAGTACAAGAACAAATGGCCGCCTTTGCCCATACTCGCACGAGTTTTGTACATTCCAAGAACAGGTGACCCAACTGCTGTTGGGATTGTCCGCGCATCATCTCTGCACGAGGATGGATAGCCTCGATTTTTCCGCATTGCCCTTGACGTGTTATACAGGCAAAACGTGCTATCATTTTGAGCCCTCTCGTGGATGTGCGACACAGCCACTATTGAGGGTACGGCAATTACAGACTCGTCGTGCACTCAGCACGGCCTCCGTGTTGTTGCAGCAGTCTCTCCTAGCGTTTCCAGCAACGGCTTGCTTTATCTCCCTTCTCTCCGAGCTGCTTCGCCTGCCTTGTTGCCGTTTCCTCTCTCGCTTGACCCGGTTGTTGCCTGCCTACCTGTGCTGTTTGTCACTCTTCCCTTTCCTTCATGGGTGTTGCGCGATTGAAGAAACGTAAACGTCCTGAACACGCGGCACGCAACTTTTTCACGGCAAAAGTCGGCAGCGGCGTTAGACGTACAGCCGGCTGCGGCGCACCATCACAACGGCAAAGGCAGTCAAACTGCAATAGCTGTTGTGCGCGAGATGGATGCTGCGATGCACACACACAAGCACGTAACCGAGGCGGGTTTATCGTTCACGTTGCTGGCATTTTTTGGTGCTAGCCCCGTTCTTGGGTTACCGTTAATCCGAGAGCGCTCAAGTCGAGTACCAGACATGGTCCCATGGGCGTCGCAACTCACGTGCCTTTGGTGCCGCCACCCCGAGTATCTGTTGACGCCGACCCAATATTGCCGCCCCCACTTCCCCCGCGCGTGCGGTACCCTGTCCAGATTCGGCTTGGTATAATTGGTTCAGCGGCTAGGGGAGGGAGAGACCAGAGAGAGGGAGGGAGGGGCAAGAGTCGGACTCTACCAATCAAGAGAGTAGCCATCTGCGACCGAGGTTATCGTACCGGCAGCGCGGCGGGTTTGACGTGTCGAAACAAAAGAGAACGGGGCAGGGAAGTTTAGGAGAGGAGAGGAGAGGAGAGGAGAGGAGAGGAGAGGAGAGGAGAGGAGAGGAGAGGAGAGGAGAGGAGAGGAGAGGAGAGGAGAGGAGAGGAGAGGAGACGAGGTGCGGTTGCGGTAGTCGAGGGGATCACGTGCGGCGGCGATGCTTCAAGAATGGCTTCGAGATCGCTGCGTGCCGGTGGTGGCGACGCTGGTCACGGAGGACGCCGACATCGCCTGCCGCAAGAACGGCCTTAGCTTCGAGCAGCTAGTCAGGTAAATCCGAAAGCTCTCCCGTATCTTGTGGCTTACGTGCTCAGTGACCCAGTCGATCCACTCACCAGCCTTACTGAGATGGCAAGGGGAGGGGGTGGCCCTAAGTTGGTGGGTGTCCCTGAACCGCGTGTGCCGTGTGGTTGGATCGAGCGATCGGGCTGTTGCTGCCCTCATGCGGCTCGTCGAGTGAGCCGTCGGAACGCGGTGTATGTATTAGCTCGGTCTTATAAAGTTGCGTGTGGTACAAATGCGGCGTTTCGGGCCTCGGCGTATGCATCCGCGTTGGATGTTGTCGGCGTATCACCGATTCGCGGCCCTCCAATGCACAGCCTTGATGGTCCCGAGCACGTTCGGATGCCGCCCGCTTTTCCTTCGCGAGGCTCCCCGTCAAAGCTGCAGTCGGCAAATGGCTGACAGACGCGGTCGATGCGGGGGCATTTAGTGGGGAAAGTATCGTGGAAAGATAAGTGGCTGCTCGAAACCGACGTGCATGTTGGGCATGTCAACCGAGAGTCGGTTGTCGTGTTTATGCGGTCCGTCTCCCCCGCCTTCATTCTGCATGACTAGGCTATTGAGTGTTCATACTGTCCGTCTAATCCCCGCCTCATTCTGCATGTCTAAGTACCTGTGTGTATGCTTCTATTTTAATGCGTGTCTTAATGCTCTCAATCTCTCTCTCTCCCACACGCCGCCCTCTCGCTGCAACACAGCGCCTTCGCGCGGATGGACGGCCTCAAGGTCCCCTTCCGCTCCTCCAGCCAGCAGTTCTCGCTCGATTCTTTCTCCTGCCGCTTCATGCGCGGCTCGTCCATGCGCCCCGCTCCCGCCACCGAGGGAGACCCGTCGCTGTCCCACATCGCAGTAACGATAACGGCGGAGGCGTCGGCCGCGGCGGCTAAGGCCAACGGGGGGGACGGAGCGGCGGGGGAGCTTCTGGATTCTTCGTTAGTGGAGGACCAGGTTAGTTTGTTTTTTCTTAGCTCTACTGCGCCTCTCCTGTTACTGGGGAGGTAGGCTCGGGGGCATAAGCTACACCGCGTGTTTTGGCTATTCGGATTCTATCTTGTAGGGACGCGCTGAGATTTGAGCCAGCCATCTCCTCCAAGTTTTGATTGGGCGTCGTACACTCGTCTATTGTAAGAGTGCTTGATTTGTGTTTTGGTTCGTGTGCGATAAGATTTTTGACAGCCCGCTTGCTTACTGCAGACTACGCCCGTGATGACATGCACGCTCAGTTTCAGCCTTGGTGCTTCTTTTTCGGTGTTACTTTTGTGCCGCAGGAGTGGTACAAGCGGTATCGCGCCAAGCTTTGGGGGGGCCTGTGCCACCAGGAGCACGAGATGCTCGACTGTCCAGCCGCGGTGCTGGTCGTGGTCTCCAGTACAGAGGTATGAGAGAATGAGAGAGACAGACAGACAGACAGACAGACAGACAGACAGAGAAGAGAGAGAGAGAGAGAGAGAGAGAGAGAGAGAGAGAGAGAGAGAGAGAGAGAGAGAGAGACAGACAGACAGACAGACAGACAGAACGGGACGAGGAGAATTGTGTGGCGTCGAAACGTCTCGAGCACAGGTTGCGACCACGGACATTTCTACCTAGTCTGGGAAAGGGAGATGCGAGATAACATGTTGAAAACGTAGAGGTTGAAACGGTTTTTTGATGTCCAGACAACAACGCCGACCTGCGGTAAGTTTGGCATTCTGTTCTCCCTCTCGTCTTTTCCCTCTGCTCGTGAAAAACCCCCTCTAAAGTTCGCGCCTCCTCCGTTTTCCCTGGCCGTCTCCTCTCTTGCTCCGGCCCAACATACGTATTTTTTCTCCGACTCTTTACGTCCCGCCACCCCCCCCCC